TTTCTACTACTTTTGATTGTTTCATATTCAGTCTAGAAACAATGCCAGCAGATTAAAATACAAGCGAAAAATAGATGTATTTATTGCACCTTGTCTTGCCCTTGCTATATTTGAAAGGAAAACTAGATTTAGAAGCTTGCCTTGAGTTCACTGACAAAAGTAAAAAGATTTTTCTATCTAGTTTTTTGGGGGCAAGATGGAGGGTGGCATCTTACTTTTAGAGTTAAGATCTTTTTCTGTAAGTATAATATGCCAAAAACATGTAATGGGAACTTGAGTGAGTTACAAAAGAAATAGAAACTAAAATTTAGCAATTATGTATGTGTTATGCTTCAGTCAAATTTAAATCATCTCTATTACCTTGACATTATTCAGAATTTAAATCTGAGTTATTTTATTCATTATGCCTGCATTTTCCCTCTGGCCAAATAACTGGTTTCTAATGACTGATGATGTAACTTATTAGTTGATTAATGGAAAACTATAAATTCTGGTTGCAGGTGTATATTTATGTATTCCTTTCTAAAACGTATTGTCTTTTTTTTTCTAAAGTGGAAAGTCTGTAACTCAAATAGTTTGTCCTTTCGTATTGTAAATATGTTCTGAAGCAGGAAAAGTGCTTCATATCTGGAGTGGATGTGCTCAACTACCTAAAGAAACTGCTTTTTTCCTGTGTTTGCACAGGAGTCACACAGCTGCAAGCATATGCATTTGAGTTAAAAGAGTGGGATTGGGGGGGGGNGCAACCTAGAACTAAGGAGAAACTTCCTGACAGTTAGAACAATTAACCAGTGGAACAACCTGCCTCCAGAAGTGGTGAATGCTCCAACACTGGAAGTTTTTAAGAAGAGACTGGACAGCCATTTGTCTGAAATGGTATAGAGTTTCCTGCCTGAGCAGGGGGTTGGACTAGATGACCTCCAAGGTCCCTTCCAACTTTACTACTACTACTACTACTACTACTACTACTACTACTACTACTACTACTACTACTATTATTATTATTATTATTATTATTATTATTATTATTAATACAAAGATTGTGAAGTGAATCTGGCTTCCCCATTGACTTTGCTTGTCAGAAGGTCCCAAAAGGTGATCACATGACCCCCGGACACTGCAACTGTCATAAGTATGAATCAGCTGCCAAGCATCCAAATTTTGTTCACATGACTGTAGGGATGCCGTAACAGTCGTAAATGTGAAAAACGGTCATAAGTCACTTTTTTCAATGTCATTATAGCTTTGAACAGTCACTAAATGAACTGTAAGTGGAGAACTACCTGCATTTTCTAAAAAAAAAAAAAGTGGTTTAATTGAGGCCTTGAAGCATTCTTGGATCGAAAATAACTTTAGAGGATACGAAGCCGGCTTCCTATATGTGAAGAAAAGTTGTTGTTTTGTTTTAATGTCAAAAGTAAGAGGGGGACACCATCTGTGGACACCAAGGGAGATGGTGGCAAGCTTTAGATCTGGGAGCTGTTAAAAGGAATGTGGGGCTGCTACCCACCTTTGCGTTTCCTGCTTTAATCATTGTATGGTTTATAAATGTTGAATTTAAGGGTTTCTGTAAGAAGCTGGCACTTCTATGTGTTTTACCAAAAAACGTTAATGATAGCTGATCAACAAGAACCGGATGATATAACATGCTACCTTTTGCTTTAAATCTGTTGTCTTAAGAAAATGTCATGATTGGCACAGTCTAAAGATCTTTCGTAGAACATATCTGTGATTTAAAATGACAAAAAAAAACAGTGTTTAGTTCAAACCATGAGCCCCGTTTAAATTGTAGCACATTTTTTTCTTGATAAGCAAGTTCAGTATCCTCTATTAAAGGACTTAGCTGTGTTTATGACAAATACGGTAATACTAAAAGAGATTGATAAGAAACATTAAGACTGTCGATTTAGTTTTACAGTAACGTTTAGTCACCGTCACAGTGAAATGAGGATCATAGTTAATTGATTGTAACAGCCAAAATGCTAGAAATAATTTTTTAATGATTTTTTTTAAAAAAGATACTTTTATACCACTAGTATGGTATTACATTATAGGTCAAATAACCTTTGCAGCTATCTCTCTTAGCCACAGTGAATAATAGTAGAAGTCAAGCAGCACGGACCAAAAGAGAACCCTTTTACAAATAAACAAGAATGATTTATTTTCTGGCTTACAGTGATGTGTGCAAATGTTTTCTATTTGGAAGAAGTCCTGTTGACTTACCTTTTGCTGCCATAGAACCTCTAAGAATACAGTTGAAGGACTGAAAGTTTGAAACCAACACTGCCTCCCTTTCTCCTTTCCCTTGCTACGTCGTCGACCTTATATTTTAATCCACCAAAATGCAGGAGACATCCTTCCTGTTTTGAACAGAATTGGTAGGGTTTTAAAATGTTCGGTAGCATTAGTTTGTGATCAAATTAAAAGTTACTTTGAACTCAGCCCCTTCTGTGAGTGTAATTTGGAACACACTGATGCTTATTGCAGCTGGCAGCTTCTTGCTATTGCCTCTTTCTGTGTGTGAAACCCACCCCCCTTGGTGACCTTTTCTGGGGCTGGTCATGGTCCCTTTTCATTGTGATGGGCTAGAAGTGGCTCATGTGGAGTTGATTATTTCCTTGCTTGTCTGGTCTGTTTGGTGCCATAACTTCAAGTCATTTCCATTTTCTTCCTCTGTTTTTGGCTGACCACAGAGAAAGGAAATGCTTTTGCTGGTGACAGGATCAGTTTGCATGCTTGGCTGACTTGATTGAGCCTGTGAAAAGGTGGGGAGTGCCTAGTAAATAAACCCCAGAGGTGCTAATGTTCCTTTGGTGTAGTTAGTTGTGATTATTAAACTCCTAAAATCTGCCCAGACCTAATATTTCTCAGTCTTCGTTTTACTTGGGCCTCTTAATTAAGGACACCCTTGTTTAATGGAAAATTATCTACTGGGAGAAAATACTAATGCCTGTTATCTGGAACTAAACAACAAAATCAGTCCTGCAGTTAAAACTAAGGGGCAGCATATCAGTTGTTGGTAGCCTATTACTAATTGCTGTTTCCCCCCCCCCCCAAAAAGGGAAACCCCTAGTAATTTTTGCAGGCAGCTTTTCCATTCATAATGAGGATTCCATTAAACATTTTGTTCTTCATTGGGGAGTCAATGGTAGTGGTGGTGGGGAATGTCTGTTTAAATACTGTAGCTCAGGGGTCTTCAAACTTGGCCCTTTTACGACTTGTGGACTTCAACTCCCAGAATTCCTCAGCCAGTAT